TCCCAATTCATCAAGGCCTGCCAATCCAACTACAATCTGCTTGAGTTCCACATAGATATCATCCAAGCCGGCTTTGGACTCAATGATTCTCATTGAATTGTACAAAAAAGATTATGAAGAACCGGCAATGACATTAACAGCCTAAAATCCCTAGAAATCTCACAATGAGACAATATAACGGGCTTCAGATATTAAACTTTTAAACCAAGCCTGTTGGTGGATTTCTTCACCACCTAGCTGAAGTCTGGAGGTCTTGGACCATGAGGGTATGTTGCTGCTTCCTGACCCACTGCAGTCTGAAGTGGTAAGCTCTTTTTCAAAGCTGTCAAGTTTATTCAGGTATTACGGGAAAAAGGACCACAACTAAGTTAGATGAAAAAGGGATCACAAGACAGATATAGTGGAACTGGAGGAATGAGAAGGCGTGGAGAGGTGAAAAAGGAATAGACTTGGAAGAGTGAGACAAATGAAACAGGTTGGCTAAAAAGAGAATTGATGAAGGTAGATGTTCAGTTAAGGTCATTTATGAATTTGTGGTTTTTCTAAGTTGGTCTAGTTGATGCTGATACTAAAAATTAAGAAAATCAGTATGTTATGCTACATTTCCTAGTCTAACACTATATTTAGTTGAATTGAGTCTGATATGGCTTGTGAAGGTCTAATCAGGGTTAGAGACCTAGAGTAGCATTGGTCTAGAAAATTATGAATTTTACGGCTGGTTATTTTTCTTCATTTGGCCTAAACAGAGGTTAAAAGTAGATTACAAACATATGAATTGGCCTTTTAAAGGATAATGACAGAAAAAGAGCATCTAACTCGATCTTAACTGTTTCAGTGTCAGCCCACATTTTCTTCATTTTAGTCTGATAAAATGCAGAAGCCATTAAAGATTGAGTTGAGAAGAAGTGATTTTGAGGAAATGGAAGTGAACAAATGCACAAGACAAGTGCACTAAGGAACAGAAGAATGAAGAGATCAAAAGACAATCCTCTTTTTATGGTTTTGTAATATGAAACATAACATTCTCACAACAAACCCAAGAAAATAGTCATACAAATGAAAGTGAGGCCAAGCTAGTATATATTTGATTGCAATTCCAAAACAAGAGTTCTGTACATGGATCACATGGAAGAGAGCATATGATAATTGAACAATACAATAATATTTACGTTTAGTCGTGTCATTGGAAATGATACCTTTATAAATGAAATAATCACTGATCAGATTTTGCTTCTTGAGCAACAATGAGCTCTTGTATGTCATCATCGCCAGTATCCATTTGCAACATAATTTCAGCATCAGTTGAGAAGTGATACCTCTCCCCAATGGCTCTTAGAAGTTGGTAAACTTCAAACATTGAAGGCCTCTCTTTGGGATTCAAGGACACACAATTACGAGCTACTTTGAAAATCTGGGAGATTTCGTGGTCAACACCCTTTCCAACCAATGATTTGTCAATGGCATATTTCAAATTAGAGTTCTGTGTGAGTTCTATAACCCAATCCACCAGGGTACCTTTGAAGTTTTCAGGGGCTTTAGTCACTTGATTTGGCCTCTCTCCAGTTACCAACTTGAGGAGGACTGTTCCAAAGCTATAAACATCTCCTTTTGGGGTAGCAACCAAAGTTCGCGAGTATTCTGGCGCCACATAACCTATATCCCCGAACTCTCCATTGACAAAGGTGCTCAAATGTGTATCAATGGGGTTCATGAGCCTCGCAAGGCCAAAGTCAGATATTTTTGGCTCAAAATCAGCATCTAGTAAGATGCACTTAGAGCTTATGTTCCGATGAATGATGCGAGGATTGCAATTGTGATGAAGCCATGCTAAGCCTCTAGCTGCCCCTATGGAAATTTTGAGTCGTGTTTGCCATTCCATGGAGCAACCATCACCATCCTCTCCCTGATGCAACTGATCATAAACAGTACCATTTTTCATATACTTGTAAACTAACAATTTCTCCTTACCAGCAAGACAGAAACCTATGAGGGGAACTAGGTCGCGATGTTTGACACTCCCAAGTGTAGCCATTTCGGACACAAATTCTTCCTCGGAGTGTTGAGTGTCGTGCAACCTCTTTACCATGTACATACTGCCATCATCAAGTCTCGCCTTATATATAGTCCCCATCCTTCCTTCACCAATAATATTATGTTTACTGAAATTATCTGTTGCCTTCATGAGATCACTCAGTCGCATTTTCGAAATAGAATTCTCAAACAAGGACACCTATACATCATACCGTAATTTCTCAGTGTGATGACGGTAAAGATTAGTACACTTCCGTAGTAGCATCAAACAGCAAAAAAAAAAAAAAAAAAAAATATTTGAATCGGTTCTACCTTGATTTTCTTGATCCCTTTGGTACTCTTTGCCCATTTGTTTCCTTCAGGATCTTCTTCTTTTTTCTTTACTGAGACTCTACATGCACAGAAGAACATAGCTAGGCTTACTCCTATGGCACCAACAGTCACTCCAGATACTGCAGCAGCAACAATAACTCCAGTATTGGACTTTCCTGATGATTTCTGACAAGGGCTTAGAGAAGGTCCACAGAGCCCTAAGTTGTTGGAGAAATCAACATCGGTAGTAGAATTAAAGCTTGGGACTAGCCCAACCAAGAGATTATTAGCAACAGTAAATCTTTTTAGCCGGGAAAGCTGGCCTAATTCTAGAGGAATTTGTCCAGAAAATCTGTTGTGGTCAAGTTGGGAACATTGAGATAGCTGCAGTTGGCAAGGTTCTCAGGTATCTCACCTGAGAACCTATTTGAGGAGAGAACAACTGAAGTCACATACGGCATGATTTTAGAAACATTAGCAGGAATTACTCCGTCAAGTTCATTAGAGGACAGGTCCAAGTGCTGTAAAGAACTGCAGTTATAAATCCCAAGAGGGAAGCTGCCCCTCAATCCCATATTTGATAGTCGGATGTTCAACACCCTATCCTCATTCGGAGCCCAGCAATCTATCCCAGTGAACGAGCAAATGAATCCTTGCGTAGTATTGCTAAAATTCCAGGAAGATTTCAAGATATTATTGGGATCCTGCAAGGATTCTTTTTTGGACCTCAAGCATAAAATATCATTCTCATTTCCATAGCTTAAATCACTCATCAACAAAAACACTAGATAAAATCCAAGAAAAACAGAGAATTCTCTTTGATTCGACCCCATACGACTTATGAGCCCCATTAAACACCTTGAGATTGCTGTGTAGTGTATGTCAGAGCTTATAATTGACACCAGAACCCCTGATCTCCATATTACAAGAATATCCTGCAAGAATCTGAATAAAACACATAATTATAATCTCCATTAAAAAACTCAATATACAAGTATAAGGAAATAGCCAATACCAAATATATGCAGTATAATAGAACTAAAAAAACAAAAGACTAGTCATAGACTCACAATAATCCTTGAGCTAACCAAATTCATCAAATTACCTAAATCTGAAACCTTCAATCAATTACTATACAACATAACCAATTCATAAAATTTACTGAAAATAATTATTGGTTGGAAAGTAAGACTGCAATTCCATTACACACCCGGCCACGGGGTGTTACGGTACACCGGGTGTATAATATACGCTTCCAAGAAAGACGGAATAATGTATTTCACAGATTAAAGTCAGTACACACTCAGAAAACTTGCAAGTATAGACAAAACCAGTAAAGTTTGAAGATTTGAACTAAGATGTATAAGAGCAATTACAATAATTATAGCTTATTGGCTTAGAAAAACTTCAAAATTAAACAAAAAATTTGCAATACCCACCACAATTTGGCAATAAACCTGGGATTAACCAGCAAATTTAACAAAAAATAATTACAAGAAAATAGCATAACTTTAAGAATGGTAGTCAAATAATGTGAAAATAAAGATTGTTTTCACATAGAATAACGTTAGAATTCAGACTGTTGACTAGTGCATAGACTTGACTTGGTGAAGGGAAAAGAAATTCCCCCATTTTTTTCGTCATTTCAACTATTATTGATTAATTATCAATTATTTATCAAGGTTAATTAGGGGAATAATCAAAGCTTTAAACATAAGAAAAGTACCCATTTGCAATTTAGCAACTAAATTCCCAAATTCGTGCTCTTTTGTTCTGGGGTGGGGAAAGTGTTAAGCAAATTACAAGAAATTCTAGGAAAATATTGCGAAGAAAAACAAAGTAAACTTACATGAAATTGTAGAAGTTTATGCCATGGTTAAAGGAGGAGAAGTTTCTGCAAGTGGAGTTTGATGTTAACTGTAATGGAAATAGAGAAGTGGAGAGAGAGAGGCTATTTTTCCACACAATGCCCCAAAGTTGTTTGGTCTATAGTCAAATTAAAGGAACGATATTAAACCGATTTGCACTTGCACCGATATGCAAAGACTATTGGTCAACATTGGACTTTCTTTTATGGCAAATGGCAATTGGAAAATTTCTATTATATCTTCGGATATATAGCCGTATAGGTATATATATTTATGGAGTAAAAATAATTTTTAATTATATATAATTATCGGAAAATTTTTATTATATCTTCGGATGTATAGTATATATACTTAATAATAATTTATTTTTTATTTTTTTTTGAAAACATATTTAATACGTAGTAATAATTATTAATTATATATAATCAAAGGTTTTAAAATAAGTAAACAAGAATTGGATGCACCCAATTTTAGGTACATCTAAATGCATGTAAAAACTTAGATTGCTAATATATGGTCAATAAATCCAAGTAAAATTTGTGCAAGAAATATGTGTATCCATTAAAGCAGTCCTTCAAATTTTGGATAACATTTATTCAGACAAACATGAATTGTAAGAGCCTGCAAATAACATGCTTTGGTACCAATTACTTTCAAGCAGCCACACGCTCATAGTGTCATGGTTCAAAATTCTGCATTGAATGCAAAGATAAGGATAAAAAATGACTTTCAAACATCAAAAACTATAAGATTAAAACCTGAACCGATTATATGATCAAACTTATACTACTAAGACTTGCAAGGCTTGAAAGGGTAACCACAAAGCCCAAGATTATTATCATAACTTGTTGCATTAAACATCCTCCCATTAACAAAACGTGGAATAGGTCCAACCAAGAGATTATTAGCAACACTAAACTTTGAAACCCATTGAAGCTCCCCAATTGCAGCCGGTATCCGACCTGAAAATCGATTATGATCAAGCTCAAGCACACTCAAATGGGAGCAATTTCCTAGACTAGCCGGGATCTCACCCGAAAAACGATTAGATGACATCTTAAGAGTGACCAAAAATGGTAGCATAGTAGAGATGTTGCTAGGAATTGGCCCATAAAAGTGATTGTGTGAAATATTTAACATTAGTATGCCACTACACTTGGAAATTCCACTTGGAAATTTGCCCTTTAGACCGAAATAAGAGAGGTTCATGCCTAGGACTCGGTTCTCCCCAGGATTCCAACACATAATACCATTAAATTTGCATATAAATCCTGGATAATTTATGTTGGGATTATCAACATCCCAAGATTTTAAGTAGTTGTGTGGATCTTCAAGGGAGTGTTTAATGGACTTCAAACAAAGTACATAATCCTCATCAATTGGTGCCGTATTTTTGCTCGTAGTTGTACTCAGCATCAATGTTGTTATTACGATGCTGAATAAGAATTTTCGTGCCATGGTATCACGGTTTGACTCTTTAACGTGTGATGACTTGAGCCTATGTAGAAAGTAATACACAAGTTTTATACCAAAATATGTGAGCAAAAAAATGAGAAAGCTTGAATGATGGAAATGAACCGTACTTCTTAGGCTTTTTATACACAATTACTAGGAAATGCGAAATAATGTTAAAAAAAATTATCATCCTCTACTGAACTTTGGCTTGGTCAATAGTTAGAGTGTTGTATTTTTTTTGACCATCAGAATAGTCCAGTCCCTTCTTCTCGTTCATTGACTTTAGTGGCATGGTGCTACCGTATGACGACTTACGGATTATTTTTATACTATTCTTAAAAAATTATTTGTAAATTTTAATAATTTGTTCTTTATTTAATTTTTTTAACACGGAGTAATATTTTACCAATTTGCTTTATTGCACTTTAAATAATTAAATGAGCTAGTCATTTTTTAATTTCATTTTAGCAACTGTTTCGGTTGAAAACAATGGGACCTTGCCGAAGGTCCGCTGAAATGGAGAAGACTGGATTCGGTCCAAGTTGTGTTGGGCCGAAGGTTTCCTGCACAGTGAACACACGTAAACTAGCCTCGGGGGTGTTTCCGAGGAAGGCCCCTCCGATGCTAAAGTCAGTACAATGTGTAAAAGGAAGACACTATGCAAGAGAGTTTGTAGCTTGAGGCTTTTGTGGAATATTTCTGAATGCAAGAATGAGCATACGAATTGGAATATGACTCTCTCCCTGAATGTGTCAATATGATGGCTTTTATACCTCATCATACATGGAGAGGTTGGGCTTTAGCCCAATTGGCTTACTTTGTGGGCTGACCTTTGACTTTTGAGCAATTGGAGAGTTGAACCTTGACCTTGGGCTTTTAATTGGATCATTTAGTGCTTAGGCCCAATTTTGACTAAATTGGACCCAAACAACTTGCCCCCCAGACCCGATTTGGAAGGATGACGGGTCGGGTTTGATTTAATTCAGAAAAGGAGGGAGGTAAATGATTTAATTGATCCAAAAATTTGAATTTAAACCGTAATTAATGAGATAACAACGGTTAATGATTTGCGGAAGTTGGACGGATAATGGGCAGTTTAATCACAAGACATGTGTTTAATGGCTACTTAGTGGGTATTTAAGAGAAATTAAAGCACAGACTCTTCGTATCCCGTACCTGGAGATATAAACAGAGGCGCGTCATTCTCCTCACTTATTCACCAACACAAACCCAGAATTCTTCGAGAGAGAAACCAAGAACCCGCATCAAAACTTCGCAAATTCCCCGAGCATTGAGCTTAGAAACTGAGACTTGCCACTACGAACTCGTAAATCGGCAACTTTCGCTTCAGATTAAGGTAAATTCCTTTGATTTCAGTTTATTTTTTCTTCGAATTCGAACTCCTTCCCCTTTTCTTTCGACTTTTCTCTTCGAAATAATCCATGGCAAGAGGAGTTAGAGGTAGAGCCCGTGCTCCAAGAAGAGCAAGGCCGATTCCCGATCCTAGGAACAGGATTGGGACCTGGAATGGTCAAAGGCCGGAGTCTGACCCTGCTGAAGGGATTAGGGCGACTCCCCTTTCCTCGGCTCCTCCTCAAAGAACAGATGAGCCGAGCGCTTCTGGACGGGATGATGAAGTTCCCGCTGTCCTTTGGGATATCCTCCCTGGGTTTTCAGAGTGGGAGAATGCCGAAGTCGTTTCGGCCATGATAAAGAACCGCCCCTACTCATGGTGGGTAGAGAACGCCGATCAATATCGATTTGCCGAGCAAATTGAGTTGCATTACGGCATTTTTGAAGCTGATGGATATTGGTGCCGAATGCCCTCAGCATCCGATAGAATCCATCGTCCACCCCCGGGGTATGTGGGGGTGTACACGAGACAGCTTCAGTATGGGCTGAGGTTCCCTTTGGACGTTTTCGTCCGAGACTTGCTGATCCATTACAACATTTCCCTATGTCAGCTAACCCCCACCAGCATCCGAAGGGTGATGACATACTTATGGGTCTGCAAGTTCTTCAAATACGTGCCGAACCTGCACTGCTTCAGAAAGCTCCATCGGCTAGTGCCAAATATTCAGAGTGGGCACGGAAGCCATGGTTCTGGGTGGTATCGGATTGAGTCCCGGCCCCAATACTTGACCATGTGGCCAAATGACTCTTCAGACAAGGACTGGAGAGGTCAATGGATTTGGGTTAGGGCACCCATAGATCCGGGCCACCCTTGCGTCTTCAGCGCTCCCCGGTACTTAGCTGAGCCTGATCCCGAAATGGGAAGTCTAGGTCCCCCCGCAGATAACGGGGCGGATCCGAACCTGGATCAGCAACATATCTTCGGCAAGCTGCCGAACCCGGGGGGGAGTGGTCGAATGCAGCATATCCCGGAGACTTGGCTCCCCGATACGCATTACGTTTTCCAAGAGAATATGCTAGCAGCTGTTGGCCTCAGCCGAAAGTTTAAGGATGGTAAGCTTCTTCGGCTGGGGCCGAGGCTTTTAACTACCTCTTTTTCTTCTCTCGCTTTGCTTTTTTATGCTGTGCCAACATATCTGAGCTAAACTTTTTCCCTTTCCTTTTTTCAGAGCGGGACGAGACCAACGTTGGTATTAACTACGCTCGTCTTGGTGTTAACCGAGAGCGAGTTGTAACTGAACGGGCCCCGTCTATCACTGAGCCGAGGCATAGGGAAGTTCATCTGGACTCTTCCCACTTCCAAATTGAGGCTGTTGCTCTGTATCAGAGGCAGAAGCCTTGGTGGAAGAAGAGAGACCCTTGGTTTCAGCTGCTGAACGAAGAAGCTGAAGCTGCCCGCACAGCCGAAGAGGTTGCACGGGTACTTGAGGCTTGTGAAGGAGGAGAAGGGTCCTCCAGAGCTGCTGAAGCCGAAGCTGCAGCTAGAGCAGCTGAAGAAGACGAGGCTTTGCTGAAAACCTCGGTGAGTTTTCAGACAACTTTTTTTTTTTTTTTTTTTTTTTTTTTTTTCTTTTCATTTCTTTTTTTTTTTTTTTTTTTACTCACACTCTTCTTCCCCCCTGTCTGTTACAGTCTGAAGAGAGTAACAGACACAGAGAAGGCAAAGCTCCTGTTCGTCCCGAAGATCAAATACAAGAGTCTTCAGACTCAGATATGGACGAGCAGCCCCTTCTGAAAAGGCGCCGAAGGATGGCCATCATCGGCCCTCATGATTTTCAGCAGAGGCCGATGACCATCGGCGTCGCAATAAGGGAACCTGAGGAAGGCAATGGATCGCCGAGGGTTCCCCAGCCAACACCCCAATCTCCTCAAAAGACCCCTCCGCCACCTCCTGAGATGGAGGTGGATCAGAGAACTCCCGAACCTAAGGGAGGGGTCCAAGAAGAAATCAAGGAGAGTGCTGCTGAGCACGAAAATAAAGATGCCGTGATGTCAAGTGCTGAAGGCTTCACGGCAGATATCGCAAGAGAGGTTGAGGCTTTCGTCCTCACCCCTGAAGAAGAGGAGGTCATAGTACTTGACTCCTCTGAGAAGGACGATGCTGAGACAACCAAGGCTAATCAAGCTCCATCGTCGTCCTTCCCTTCTTTCCAGACTCTGCATTCTGGAGAAATGGGTTTCTCGGCCCCCCGAATTCCAATCCCAGATCACATCTGGGACCTCATATGGGGTCAAAACCGAGAAGGAGCTGCAGCCTACTTCGGCAATTTTGCTGGCATGTCCGAAGTAGACAGGGCAAGGATCTGGTCGCTGAAGGCCACTGCTGGGATGGGCGAATCCAGTAGATCAGTTCCTGACCCAGCCAGGTCTAACCAACTGCTGATGATGCAGGTAATTTTCCTTCATTTCCTCCGAAATTCAGCTCTATTTTTTTCTTATTACTTATTTTTTTTTTTTTTTTGTCTTCCTGTTTTCAGTTCGTGCACAATCAGACTCTCACTGTAGAGCTGATTGATACCCTACAAGATAGGGTAGACGCTGCTGTGCACGAAAGGAAGGTGGCTGAAGAGGAAGTTAAGCTTGCTAAGCTGAAGCAAGCAGCAGCTGAAGAGAAGCAGCAGGAGGTTGAGGAGTACGGTAAAAAAGCTGCCGAAGCTCTGAAAACCTTCTGCAATGCTATGGAGATGGAGGTTTTTCCCCCACTGATGGAAGGGGAAAAATTCCTCCAGGAGCATATGGGAGTGGACGTCTCCAAATTCAAGGCTGCTATTGAGAGCCGAATTCAAGAAGGAACTGCTGCACAAGCTGAAGTGCAGCGGCGTCTAGAGGCTCTTGAAGCCAGCCGAATGGCTGCTGAAGAATTGCTCCTGGCCAAAGACGTCCAACTCTCAGAGGCTGCTGCTGCTGCTGAAGCTCAAAGAGCTAAATTCCAAAAGGCTGAGGATCAATTGCTGATCCAGAAAGTTGAAGTGGCCCAGGCCCAGACAAAGGCTTTCCAAATTCAGCAAGAGCTGAATGAGCTGAGAGGTTCCTCCTCCCAAGTCGCTGATGAGCTGAAGAAATCCAAGGAAGACTTGGAGGAGACCCAGAAGAAGCTGGCTGATGCTGAGGCTTTACTCAATGTCCGTGTATATACCCAAGAGGAATATGAGATGGGTTTCAGAAACGGATTCCGAGTATGCCGAAGAGTCTGCCTTCATGCTGAGCCGAAGCTGGACTGGTCTAAATGTGCTGAGTGGGTCCAGAATCCCGAAGACCCTCACATGAAGTTTGCAACTCCAGCTGAAGCTGAAATTCTTAAGGCTGAGGAAGCCGAAGAGGAAGCTGAAAGACTGGAGTTGGAAGCTGAGCAGAGGGAAAGGGAGGCTCGGCAAAGTGCAAAGCCCGCCTCTTCTGCTGCTGGGGCTGAGGCCACCATGGGACTCAACGCTGATCAGTCTGATCCGCCGGCTGAAGCATAGGAACTCGGGCAGTCGTCTTCAGAATCTTGCGGTTCATCATGTGCTTAACTTTAGCCGCTTTCTGAGTTTTTTGCCTTGTTTTTTGCTTCAGCTTGCCTTGTCGTACAGCAGTTTTATTTTTTTGCTTAT